TTTATAATGCCCAGAGTAGATATATATTGATTAGCAGGTACAGCTCTGTAAATTATTTTGAGACTGAAATGATGTTTTGTATAGAGTTCCATTTCTGGATCACAGCTCCAAGAATCCCGGCCATGGGTGGTTGTGGGGATTCTGGGCATTGCAGTCCCAAAAATGGGAAAAAAATAAACCCCAGGCTTTGTTTTCAGTGGAAGCGGCAGCAATACTTTAAAATAACAGTATCAGAGTGTTACACAGATTTAAATACAAGAGTAACAGATTAATTTTCTTCCCCGGGCAAGTTGTGGCTGAAAGATCTTCAGATCATTGTAGACAGGTGCCATTTCAGGATAACAGCTGCTGAAATCTTGATCCATATAAACAAAGTCTGAATCATCAGCTGAGCTCTCCTTTCATGCTTGTCTTTTAATCTAGTCCTCAAGAGACACGTTACAAACTGCCCACCATTTTATGACAGGAAAATGTACTGCTTCCCGGTTTCATACCTATTTGGATAAATGAAGTCATGTAGCATTACATCCTTATTTGCAGCTCCGTTTCACTCAGAGGCTTGACACAGCCTAGGTTTGAGCATACATAGCACAAGTCTTTCAGCACTTACAGTGTTTGAGGCCTATAAGTTCAGCTATTGTTAATATTTTTAAAACAATAGCCAACATTAACACCAGCAGAAAGGAAACTCACTTGCAGTGACAAATTGACACTGATTATTAATATGTCCCTGCTTGAATTCCTGGTCACGTGTTAAGCCACCGGACCGATGCACAGCGAGAAATGCAAGAGGCACTAATTAATTAGTGGCAATTGCTGCTACATGTTACACTTTTTGGCAAAATGTATAAAAGAGGATTCTGGCCAACACTTCAAAAGGAATGTGTGTGTGTGTGTGTTTAGTCGTTTAGTCGTGTCCGACTCTTCGTGACCCCATGGACCAGAGCACGCTAGGCCCTCCTATCTTCCACTGCCTCCCGGAGTTGTGTCAAATTCATGTTGGTTGCTTCGCAGACACTGCCCAGCCATAGTCCTACTTAAAATCACTTTTGGATCATGTATGCACCTATATCTGTTTCTAAACAGTTTGAAGTGATGAAATGGAAAACTAACAGCTTGGCCCAGTTTGGATGAGGATACAATGCCCAAAGCTGGACTGCTCACTCTCCCCTCATGCCTTCCAGTCCCTTCCTCTTTTTGCATCACAGGAGCCGCCATTCACCATGATAAATCAAACTACATTTTCTGTAAGCGATAGCTCTGTTGTTCAGGTATCCCTAAATATGCTTACACAGGAGAGAGGCATACTCACCCTACCCTCTGCCTTATTGTTTCACTCACAAGGAAAGCAAGAAATCTAGCCACAGAGGTCAGGAATGTGAGAAACATCAGAGTTCTAGATGCAACTGGAGATCCTCTATGTGTGGGGGAAGGGGGCCTATTCAGACTGCCTGCTTTTTGAGGTCAATAAACCAACAATGGAAGGGATTGAACGAGAGCACTCTCTCCCTGCATGCTGAGAAAACACACTTCCAGTTGCTGGAACAGGGCGCATAACCTTGCCTCAGACTGGAATTAGAGACTATGGTTTGCATTCGATTTCCAAGTCTGGTATAAAGGCAAGTGACAGTCACTGCAAATTATAGTTGTGTGGAACAGAGAAGAAGGAAGGTATTTCTGCATATAAAGGGAATGACTAGAGCTCAAGAGCCTGAGGTAGACATGGCCAACTTTGGCACTCCAGATTTTTGGACTTCACCTCCCAGAGCTCCCAGTCTGCATTGCCATTAAGAAAGGACTGTGGGAGCCATAGTCCACAACATCTGGAGTGCCAAAGGTTCTCCACTCCTTGTTCCAGGTACAGTTTTGACACTGAGCCACAGTCTGAGGAAGCGGGCTTGTCCATGAAAGCTCATATTAAAACATGCCGCCATGTTTTTCTCTTTGTTGTCTTTTTATTTTTGTTTTGTTTTTTGCCTGAGATACTAGAACAGACTAACACGTGAACCACAGGGTAGCAGAAATATCTGGAGAAAAACCAAGCAAGCAGTTTTTGTTCTCCTTTTTGTTTCGATACTGCAGGTCCCAGAATGCCAGTTGTAGCTGGGGTACTTTGGTAATTCTAGTCCCCCGCCCAATAGGCCTCCCCCCCCCACATGTCTGGTCTTGAGTGTGCCACAGAAATTCCTGCTTTTTCGATTCGCCAATCAAGAACATAGACAACCTGTGGTGGATCTTTGAGAAGCCCAGTTTTCTCAGAAACGGGTGGGCAACATGGAGAGTAGATCTGCAAAGATGGAGCTCTGTAGCTAAAGGATGCTATTCTACGGATGAGCATTTGAAAAGGAAAGAATGGAAGGGAATGTTAAAAAGTGCATGGTTAACACCAAGGTTTTTTTAGCAAATGACTACATAGCTGGAAAACACTGGTTCTCCATGGTTTCCACTGACTTTGGTAGGCTTTGTATTGTTGCTTGAGCCATCTTAAGCTGTAATTCTGTGCATGGGCACATGGAAGTAAACTTCATTTGGAATATTGTACCATGTAATTTATTTCTGAGTGAGCTTTGCTAGGACGTTGCTGTTAATGGCTTTCTCTAGAAAGCTTTCCAGAAAGAGGATTCTGTCAGGCAAGAAATGCTGCAGCTGTTGCTCAGGACTTGCTCAGAGGTAAAAAGAATCTGGTTCACACAAGTCCTTCTGTATTGTTTTGTGTCCGTCCCCCCCATTGATGAGTTAACACAAGATTTAATCTGATGAGCTCTGTGCCTTTCCCTCTGCCTCCTCTGTTTTTCTTATTTTCTTCCTGAGGGTATAACAGGACATTGCTCCATGATTTTTGTTGGGTAGCACCTCCTGTTAAGAATTTCTTTCTATGCCAGAAACAAGAAGCCTTTCATAAGCCCTGAAATTATATTTTTAAAAAATATTTCCCCTCCCCCGAAACAAACCATCTAGAGGCAAAGCTGAAGTGAGGATGTGGATTTATATAGGATTTATAAGGACTTCTATTCTGAGAAGCCTAGAAAAGTGACTTTCAAAGAAGTAGCTTCTGCAGTATAGATGCAAATGCCAGTAAGCCACAATTCCCTTGTGGAATAATTGAAACCAAGCACACTCA